CCCCCTTCCCCACCTTACTTCCAGCTCCAGCGCTCTCCAGAGAAATCTCACTCGGTCTTGCAAGGCCCTTCTCAAGCGCTGCAATCTTCCCGGGTTCCCCTCTCGAATGTTCTATCTTCCCTCGGTTACCACCTCGAATGGCATTCATTCCTCTCCAAACACTTTTTGATTTGCAGTAATTTGCATCCTATACTAACCCGAAAACAGGTTTTGACTTTAGACGTTAAGGCGCAGTGTCTAACGCCCACTTCCTAGCAAGTAAATGTTTGTCAAATAAAATAGAATTCAAATTGAGTATATATGTCTTGGCATAAACCAGTTTCCACTAACCACTTTCTAAAACAGGATTCATAGTTCCCACCTCCGTGGAAAATATGAGGGGAAAACCCCTCTGATCCAGCACCGCTCTCCGATTACCACGCCATGATCACATGGACGCAGGGCAGCGCCAAGTGCCATGTTGACAAAATCAAGAAATGCAGAAATATTATTTGGAAGTCTGAGCAGCTTTTAGGTTTTCAAAGTTTGCCTTTCTTGTCAGAAAAGGCATCTTTAATCTTGCTACAGAGGGGTCCCGTGTATTCAGAAAAAAGCAGATCAAAGATTTGAAAGACACATTATAAAAGCTGTGCGGTTATCCTCGCCTCTGAGACTCACATCCTCCAAACAAATCATTAGCTCACAGAGCAAGCAATATTCTTCTAAGCAGAGGAACACGACCCCCTAAGGGAATAGAGCAGCGAGAGCACTCAGGTCTCCAGATGAAACACAGCAGTCACTCGCCAGCAATCATCCCTTCTCTTTGTACCCTTCAGAGGGAACACGCAAAGGTAGGCGCCTTCCTACCATGCTCAGACTGTTAGATACGGTCGGGGTGGTTTCGTAGCCTTCCTTTCCTTTCCAATCGCGAAATGAAAATAGATTCTCCTCCCAAACTGAGGAATTTAGGAGGAATTCGAATCTATTGCAGTTCAATAAAATTATTGAAGCCTGAAGCAACAGAAATTAGTTCTCTCTGGAAGGCTTAAGGGCCTATGAATTTCTTCTGGTTTCTCCAGAATAGAGTTTCTTTTCCTTACTAGAACTATTATCTCTACAATCATGGGCCACAATTCTAATTAATGACATAAGACAAGAAAATCCTCTGAGGAATTCCTAGGAAGGTATTCTTGTGTCCCCATTCTTAAAAGGGGACACGAGATGCGGAGATTCCCTTTTTCCTGACTTTAAATATCATGCGAACGTGGGATGCCTAGAGCTGCTGTAGCCAACTTGCAGCCAGGCTACCAAACTGATGATGGCAGCGAGGAAGCAGAGGAGGGGCCTGGGTCCTTCATGACCTCCTTCCACTAAAGTCACCAGTCCTCCAGTGGCCACCACCATGTGTTTATGTGAGATAAATTTTCCTGCTTCTTAAGTCACTCTCGGCTGGTGTTTTTTCATTGCTGCTGCTGTTTCTTTAGTAAAACCCAGATAAAAGCACTAACAGCTACCAGCACGGTAACAATAAAATGCCCAGCAGTGCTGACACATTGCCTGGCACAGAGGAGCCACCGTGGCGGCTACTGCAGCCCCAGGAGCTCGCACAGCACCTGGCGCATACTAGCGCTCAGGGGATACCTGAGCTGGGGGCTTCTGGTTGAATCATCGTTTTATTCATTTCACTTTCAAGCATTAGGCAGCATCTCAGAATCCGACATTCTCTCTGAATTTTAAAGATGCCCCCTGTTATGATTTGCTTACCCCCTCCTCCCAACTCAACCCCCTTCTTAATTAGGACACCTCGCCTTCAGAGGGCCGAGGTTCTGAACATTGTTAGGAAGAAATCGCTCTGACCGAACTGAGTCCCACCAGCTGTGAATGACTAAAAGTGCTTCAGCCGCCCTGCCTGGGCGGCTCCGTTGGCCGGAGCGTCATCTCTTACACCAAAAGGTTGGGAGTTTGATTTCCCGGTTGGGGTGCGCACAGGAGGCAGCTGATCAGTGTTTCTCTCTCTCTACCCCTCCCTCTCTCTCTAAAAATCAATGAAAACATCCTCAGGTGAGGATTAAAAAATAATAAATACATTTTTTAAAGTGCTTTAACCTATTCAGAGCAATCAGGAGTTTATTTTTTTTAATGTTTGAAGATCACCTCTTGCCAACACTTAGGACAGTTGTAACACAGTGTGTAACTGAAGTCATTCAGGCACTGTGGGGCAAGACAGTTACCAATAATGAGGCCAGCACATAGATCTTCCAAAGTCTGGGAATCTACCCTAAAATTCCACTTCTCTAAGCTATTCCTGAATTTCAAAGCTTTCCTTTCTTCAGTATAAGTCTATACCTTTTTTTTTGGTGGGAGGGGGAAGCTTATTAGAATTTTTACATGACAGATCACATCAAAGAAGGTGATGAAAGCTAAGGTCCCTCTCGTCAGACACACATTCAATTAGTGCATATAATTTTTAGAGGGCTCAGTGACCATTGCTTAAGGGGGTAGAATTTACAAGTGCTGACCAGTTGTCTGGTTCTTTACTCCTCTGGGCAGATGCAAGATGGTTCTTCTCAATCCCTGGCAACTAGGCAGGGCTCTGTGACTAGCCCCGGCCCAGGGGCGAGCGTCGCTTTTGGGCTTAAGCAGAGGAGGGCACACCTGATCCTGCCGCTGGCTCTTGCCCTGCTGCAGCGAGCACGGAGGAAGCCTCATTAAAAATTCTGGAGCCACAGGTCGGAGCAGC